CGAGGCTTCAGCGGTGGTCCGGCGAGGCTTCGGCGGTGGTCCGGCGAGGTTCCGGCGGTGGTCGAGGAGGAGCTTCTTCCTTCCTTCCTTCTCCTCTTCCTTCTCTTCTTTCTTGAGTCCCCCCTCTCATGAGAAATGAGGGCTCTATTTATAGATTTTCTGGAGTGGCATGGCCCGTAAATAGGCGTGAGATCAGGGGCGATTGGGGAGTGGTCAAATGGACGACCGATATCGAATCATACGATCGTGCACCGTTCGTTGTTCATTTGAAGGCTATAATGATGTTGGAATTCGGTGATCTTGGGCTCGTTGGATTCGTCTCGTCGAGCCGTTCGATTCGAGTATAAGCTCGTCAAAATCAGAGACCGTTTGGTAACTTAAATTGCAGTTTGAACCTTCCAACAGTGCTTTGAGCCCTTGATTCGGACTCATTTGGGCTCGGATTGGGTTGATCTTGGTGTCGTTGGGTTCGTATTTCCGAGACGCTCAGTTTGACTGTAAGCTCGCTGAAATCGGAGTTTGGGTGCTCCCATAATTAATTTTTGAAGTTTCCCACTAACTTTTGTCTCGAGATTCGTGCCCGATCAAGCTAATTTTTTGATGCCGTATCAATTCTGATTAATGAACCGAATATCTTCATAAATTTTTATTTTCATAAAGATACCAACAATGATAGTTGTATTTTGATTGCTTGATCACATATGCTGAGCCCATGCTTGCAGAGTAGTGGAATCAACTTAACTACTGGAGTGAAGGTTTTAGAGCGATAGCCTCTTGTTTTTTTGGCAATGTGGCTGCTCGAGGAAAAGATATGTTTAGGATTAGGTAAGATTTAGGCTTCGGTTGGGACGGCTTTCTTATTACTTCTTAAAGCAGCTTTCTAGTATAAAAATTTTAATTTTTGTACTAAGAAGCTACTTTAGGAAGCAGAAAGAAAGCCGTCCCAAACAAAACCTTAATTAAAAAACACTAATTAGGAAAGAATTGATATAAGAAATCTTAGAATATTCTATCATCTAATGACTTCAATTTTATGTTGGCTTAGAATTGGGGTAAAGTATTGGATGGTTTGAGTCGATGGTATGGCAATCGGTTTAATTATTTGAAAGGGTGCAAAGCATGGAAAAATAAAATAAAATAATATACTAAAATATTTTGATACAAATATTTATGTAGATTAGGGCAATCAAAATTGGGTCACGGGTCAGATTCGGATCAAACCCGAAGAAACATCTCTTTCCTCTCTCTCTCTATGAGGAGATGGTGATATATATATATATATGCAATGTGGTGCTACATACCACATTGCCACAAACGCTAAATCAAAAAACTCAGGTTATTGCAAAACATAAAACAAAATGGGTTATACACTGCGGCGCTATATATTACTATGCTCGCCAGTGCATTGCCACAACACTATAGTTCAAAAATTTTATATTTAATTTCAAATAAATTTATTTTCTTTTTAAATTCCCATTCTCTCTTCTTCTCTTTTCTTCCTGACTAGCTGAAGGAATGGATGGAGAGAGAGAGAGAGAGAGAGAGAGAGAGAGAGAATATATTATGGAGCATTTTGGTCTGGTGGTCCTGTTACAAAATTTCTTCTGATTATAGTAGTTAACATGATTCTCACTTTATTTTCAAAAATATTGATTTCTAGGTTTTATCTCTCGAATATGCTAATATATCCCTATTTCAAGATTTAAGTAACTTTCAATATGTAGTTTATTATATGTTATAAATATAAACTTTTAGAACCTTTTCATATGATGATATTGGAATTTCATCCGTTAGAATTGCATATATAAATTTATATGTGAATTGCATTATAATTTGGCACATATAAAAGAATATAAACACATCTCTTTGATATATATGACATACATGGGATTTAAGGATTTTCCATTTTGACATGCAAAAATACATGTAATGATTATGCATTAATTTTCATATTTTATCTGCATCATAGTAATTATGAAAATAAGATTTGGAATATGTATGTATAAACGATTGTAGATTAACTGGGCATTAATTAGAATAAGATACCCAAATGAAGATATAAGATATGAGAGCTATAAGTGTACAAGATTGAAGCAAGATATTAAGGGATTAATAAGTGTTTAAGATTAGAGCAAGATACCAGCAAGATATTTGTAAGAGACAAGAATTCTAGTTAATGACCAATAGTTTATAAATATTTATATTGTATAGTGAGACAAGATATGATTTCATATGACATGCATATATGAATATTATTCATATATTAAAAAAAATGGCAAGACCTATAATACCAATACAAAGGTTATTTTATAAAATAATTGAAATTTTTTGATGTTCGATATCATGGCTATTGCATTTATAATGATTTTTGGGTTATATCAAATCTACGGAATTCTGAATGAGTAGTATTGTAAGTATGTTTCCGTTGTTTATATTATCTTGATGAATTAGTAAGATTTGATCGATGATTAAGAAAAAAAAAAGAAATTCAATTCTTTTCAATTTATATTCTAAGGTATGAATAATCTATATGAGTTATAATATTGAAAGCAAACAAACAAACAAGTTTCAGACACATATCAAAATCTGGTAATGAGACAAATCTCAGATTGGAGCTTTTTAGAGGCAATGTGAATACTAATTAAAGGAGGAAAGTGTTGGTCCACAAGGGATCATCTCGAATCTCTCTTTCTATAATAAAAGGATAAGAAAATCTCCACTGTAGAGCAGCTTTAGACCATCTCCAACCGTTTGACAAACAACCGAATGAAGACCCTCATGAGTCGCAATCGAATGCCTTTTCCTCCGCCATTTGATCACGAATGAACAGTGCGACGCCAATATTGACGTTGCATTGTTCATCTGTGCCATTTTTTGGTATGTACCGAGCTTGCGAAAGAAAGGCGCGAAAGAAAAGAGCGACGGTTAGGGGGCACAATGACGTTCGATTGGAGATGAATCACGACACTTTTTGGTTTCACTGCATTTTGCATTGAAAAATGAGATTTTTGGTTGGGGATGCCCTTAGTGTAGAAGACTGGAGATGGCATATGACATACGGTGGAGGAGCCTAGGCAACTATGGAATAGTTAGACGAAACATGACTATATAGCCTATAAGATGCTCTGAGAGATATTATTGATTGTCATCACCAATTCCTACCACATTATTAACAATTCAGGGATTTAAAAGATAGTTCTAAGAAAGGGTGTTGAAGAAATAGATCATGCACTTTGTTATTTGTTTGAAGACAAATTTGTGAGATAGTTTATAAGTTACTTAAGATGTCAAGATTTCATGATATTTATAATTCAGTTAAGAGGATCTTAATTTGAGTCTTATCATATTGGAAGCTAACCTAATCCAATATAATTTAAATATAATGTAGATTTAGAAGAATGCTTTTCTTAAAATAATCAACATGATATAATGATATTAGATGTCATAGAAAAACTAAAGTTAATGCAAAGGCTTATTTAGGCATGGCAGAGTGTGACGTCCCAGACATCAAAAGTGAAAGGATTCGTCTGACATTCTTTTTCTTCTTCTTCTTTTTTCTCAGATCAATACAGACATCCAGAAATGATAATTGCATTACAAAAAATAAATACATCAAAATACTATAATTCACATTTCGACATTTCATATACACAGTCCAAAAGAACATGTACAATATCCACTCGGGCTACAAAACAATGCGAGAACCAAAAACTATGAAAAGACTATACTATCATCTGAAAGAAGCTTCACGCGGGAGGCTCTACACCTGAAATCATTAACCACATATAATGAGCTTAAATAGCACAGCAGATCACCAAAGCCTACAACTGAAATCAAAGCACGATACATAAACAATTTGCATGTCAACCAATCAAATCAATAACAGTCACATACACTTGATTATTGAATTGATGCAGGTACGAAAATCAATACAGAAACAGTAATCAATGTAATAACAGAAATCAATGTATAAACAATAGAATCCAAAATCATCAATGATATAATCAGTGAACAGTAGAAAATCTATAATGTTCAATAAATCAGTACGTGCATCAAATCTCTACAGAAGTCGTCTAATCTATCCCATCAGTTTATAACATCAGTCGAGTCAATGAAGTGGAATCGTATCACACCATACCAACATACACTTGCAAACTCCAGTTATTTTTCACTTGCTCAATTAATCATATGCAACCCAGAAATCAATATCCCGAGCTCAGTGAATCACATGTCACTTGCTCAGTATATCACGTGCATAAAGTTAGTACAGTGAATCAGTAGCAGCAGTGTATGTATCAATATCAATAACAATCCAATGACGACATGAACGATTATGCTATAATAGTGAAATCATATAGTAACAGTAAATCTTGACAGTAACAATAAATCCTCAGTAAATGAGTCAGTACTAGTAAATCCGTCAAATCAAATACGATTAATATCACTCAATCATATCAATAGAATCAATCAGATCAATAAAGAAACCACTTCCGGTCAATAATGTCAAACGGTATGAAATCACATAAAATAATCAATTCAATACATCGTAATAACAGTTGAATCAAATCAATAATAACAATTAAAATCAATCAATACAGTAAAATCATATTCTAGATCACGTGCTCGATAAATCACATGAATTACATGAATCACATGTATCAGGGTATCACATGTATCGGTCAGTATTCGGTGTATCACATGCCATAAGATCAATGCAATGAATCAGTAGTATTAGTGAATCAGTAATATCAGTGTCGGTATCGGTATTAGTATCTGTAGTATCAATGAATCAATGGTATCAATAAGTCTATAGTATCGATGAATCAATAATATCGGTATCCATAAGATCAATGAATCAATGAATCGATGCAATGACAGGAAACTCATAAGTCCGTACAGAATTCAGATAATCACAAAAATCGTATATAATCAAATGAAATAAGATATTCAAATACTTGATTATAATCAAACAGCTGATACAGAAGAACTGAATTTATTTTGAACAGCAGAATATTCAAGTCAGACTTTGCAGAACCAGCGAAATCGTACAGAACAAGCAGAATCATACAAAATAAACGAAATTGTACAGAACAAACAAAATCATACAGAATAAATGGAATCGTACAGAACAAACAGAATCATACAGAATAAACAGAATCGTACAGAACAAACAGAATAAACGGAATCATACAGAATAAACAGAATCATACAGAATAAACGGAATCGTACAGAACAAACGGAATCATACAGAATAAATGGAATTGTACAGAACAAACAGAATTATACAGAATAAACAGAATCATACAGAACAGAATTCAAATCATAAAAGCACATTTCACATAATAGATATCACCTTCCCGGACCCTGACAGAATCTCAACGGATTCTGGCCCCTTATGCCTCCCTTCCCTAACACTAATAGAATCTCAACGGATTCTGGCCCCTTATGTCTCCCTTTGTGCTTATAACATCAGAACATAACAGATATTCAGAATTTCCGGAACATAACTTATTTTCAGAGTTCATAGCTCATTTCAAATTTCCCAGACCCAGACAACGGAATCACATAGAATTCCGGCCCCTTATAACTCCCTTTGATAGCATGCACACATCAAAGCATTCAAATCAGAAAATCGGATTTCGTTAAAAAATTCGTCAGCGGCATAACGACAGTATACGAAATTTATACAGAATTCATAGATTCAGAAAATTACCAAATTACCAGAAATCATGTAAAACAACGTTGCAAAGCTTTTCTTGTACTGAAGCAATATTTTTCAACAGCCAGATAATTTTCTATTCTATAAAAAGCGTACAGAACTCAAAATATCCAGTAAAAATCTTCCAGAAAATACTCAAATCGTACAAAAATATCAGTTCAATAACATACCAAAAGTTCGCGATAAAAGTTTCGTCAATACAAAGATATGCAAGAATTTCGGCAACGGAAACACAAAACTGAGCAGAAAAATACCAAAACTAGAAATCTTCAAAATCAGAAATAGGATTCGGATTTCTTACTGCGAGACGAACAATTATTTCAACAGCGGCGTCGGACGAAAAGCCCACCGCGAGCTCCAAAACCTAGCTTTTTTCCTTTCTTTCCTTCTCTTTCTCTCTCCTGCTTTCTCTTTCTCTCTCTTCAAAAATCATTCAAAATATCTCAAATCCGATACTTATCAAGCAGGATCGTCCAGGACGATGCCCAGATCGTCCCGGGACGAACTCCTCTGGACACGGATCGTACAGACGAAAATTAATTCCAATTTGTTTCGTCCCTGGACGATGCTCTCTGTTCGGTTCGTCCCGACCCTTACAGGTTCGTCCAGACGAAATTGACATATTCTTAACAATTTTTTTTCAGTTTGTCCGGGACTAAGGTCAGTTCGTCCGGGACTAACAGCACTAAAAAAAATCAGTTTCGGAGAGGTTTTACACAGAGTGATGTGTTCGACCCCATTTTAATTTGTTTGATGTTAATGACAACAACTAGAAGCCAAATGCTGCAATTTGACTAAAGCTTTGCTTGAGACAGCTTTCTTACTGCTTTCTAAAGTAGCTTTCTAGTATAAAATTTTTTAGTTCAAGAAATTTTTGTAATAAAAAAACTACTTTATAAAATAGTAAGAAAACTGTCCCTAACGAGGCCTATGCCTAAAATTCTCAACATTTGTAATTAAACATTCTTATGTGTTTAGATGTACTTGCCTCTAACAAAGCAATATAGACGAATGTTAAGTAATCGTCGTGTATGTATATAGTGATTACTACTAATTGAATTGAATGAATTGCCTAAGAAAATTTGGGAGGCAATGTCATAGCAAGTGGCGGAGCCAGAAAGTTTATCAAGGGGGGGCCTAAATTATGTTATTAAAATTTTCCCTCAACTTTTTTCATCCGGGCTTGGGACCGGCATAGGCAGTTTTAAAAACTTTTTTATTAATAATTATCCAAAAACATATAATATTAAATATAAGAGAGTAAACAACTTACAATTTATAACGTCGACTCTTCATATTCTGAAAGAGTTGAATGATTACTTCATTATCAATAGAATCCAAAATATCTTTTTCAACATAAGCAAGTAATAAATCATTCATCCATTGATCGTCAATCCTATTTCGCAGCCAATTTTTTATGATATTCATGGCAGAAAATGCTCTTTCGACGCCTGCTGTAGCAATGGGTAATACCAATGCCAGTTCAAGTAATCTAAAAACAACAGGATATACTATATCCTTCCTGCATTGGATCATTTTTTCAGCAAGACTTCTTATATCTTTTAATGAAGAGAACTGATCATCAGATCGCATATCCATAATATAAGTATCCAATTGATTTTGAAGAATCGTCTGATCAAAAGGACTAAAATCAGTTGGATAAAACTGTGCCATTCTAATCAACTTATCTTTGTTGAATGCATTAAAACCATTATTAGGATTCAAACATGCAATACACAAAAGCAGTTCGGTATTTGCTTCTGTAAAACGATTGTTCAGCTCTTGAAGCTGCATATCAAGCACTGTGTAGAAAATGTCAACCCGAAAATGATATAAATTTGTTATATCTTGAGCTCTGCGACGAGGACGACCACGAGCAACCCATTTATCATCCATATGCGGAACATTTATTTTCTGCTGCTCACAAAATAAAGTTACACTGTTGATGAAGTCAACCCACTTATTATCTCTCATATCCTGCAATCTCATTTTACATATTCGCACTAAAGACATAGCATTTATAATATCTTGTTCTACTCGCTGCAAAGCTTGCGATAGTTCATTAGTGATACCAAGTACCTCTTTCATCAAATGAAGGCAAAAGGAGAATTCAAATGTCTGTAATGATTCTAATAATGCATAGGCTTCACCTTTTTGTTCTGAGCTTGCACAATCCTCCAAAATAATTTCCAGAACATCAATCACTGTAGAGAACATTGTGATTAACCTATTATTGATTCGTAATGTGAACCCCATCGTGTTTCACCTGCACGCTTAAGGGTTATTTCTTGATTTAAGCCTCGCCCTGTTAACAGTTTTCCACTTTGTAATGCATTTATTGTCTTCTCGCATTGTAGTTCTCGTACCTGATCACGCCGCTTACAAGAAGCACCAACAATATTCATCACATTTGAAATTAAGGTAAAAAATAAAGCAATATGAACATGACCTTTTGCAACTACCACCAATGCTAATTGAAGCTGATGTGAGAAACAATGAATGTAATGTGTTGAAGTATTTTTATTTAGAAATAGAGCCTTTAAACCATTGAACTCACCTCTCATATTGCTAGCGTCATCATAACCTTGACCCCTTATTTTAGAAATGCTCAAACCATATGATGAAAGGAGTTCTTCAGTTGCCATCTTTAGACTGTTCGCTGTTGTATCTGGCACATGAGAAATCCCTAGAAAATGTTCTATAATCACACCTTTATTGTCAACAAAGCGCACTATAATTGCCATTTGCTCTTTACCTGATGTGTCACGTGATTCATCAACTAAAACTGAATAAAACTTTTCACCAATCTCATCAGATATAAACTTTGTGATTGCAATAGCGAAACCCCTTGTAATATCCTTATGAATATCGGGTGCAATTAATTTCAAATTCTCAGGTGCATTCTTTAGCACCGCATCGTCTATGTCTTTGTTATGTTCTGCTAGAAACTGCACTAATTCTAGAAAATTACCCTGATTTTTGGATGTAGAAGACTCGTCATGTCCTCGAAAAGCTAGTCCTTGTTTCAAAAGAAATCTTATGCAATCAACAGAAGTATTGAGGCGGGTACGATATGCAATTGTAGCTTGATCTGATTGTTTTTGGAAAAGAAATCCAATATGTTGGCTTTGTCTCATTAGGTCTTCACAACTTCGTCTAGCATTATTATGCGTACTATTATGACTTCCAACATGAAGATCAAATTTGTTTGTTTTTTTCCAATTTGAAAATCCATTTTTATTGAATGCCTCTTCCTCTTCATTGCCTCTCCCGGATGTTCTGAAAAGATAACAATATAGACAATATGCTTTGTCTTTACATATGCTATACTCTAGCCAATCAAAATATTTGTCAAACCAACTAGGATTAAAGCGTCTATCTTTCATCCCACATTTACTTTTCGAAAAATCATGACTACGAGGTTGAAATGGTCCTTTTTGTAAATATGTTCTCCGAATTTCATCTCGAATGTTATGATTAAAATTATTAATAGGAATTCGTAGACCAGGATCAGATGGAAGATTTTCTACACTTATTTCCACATTGCTTGTTTTTGGTAAATCAACATCCATTCGAATGCGTTTTTCATTTTGCACTTCAACCTTATTGCTATTTTCATCTGTATCATTTGATGCTTTTGAACTCGAAGATCGCTTGAAATATCTCTCCATGGTGCTCAAACTTGTACTCAAGGATCACTTGAAACAAAATCTGATTGCTAAGAAAAATTCATAAATCAAATTTTATCCAAAAGAATCATCTACAATCATCTGTTTTTTTTTTTTTTAAAATGATCTTTTGCTAATTTGCTGTTTTAAAAATTTTGAATATTCTAACTTCTAAGAGTGTTCCTGCGGTGGTCCGGCGAGGTTCTGCGGTGGTCCGGCGGCTGTCGAGGAGGAACTCCTTCCTTCTCTTCTTCCTTCTCTTCTCTTCTTCTCTCTCTTGCTTGGATCCTCTCTTGTGAAGAATGAGGGCTCTATTTATAGATTTTTTGGAGTGGCATGGCCAGTAAATAGGCGTGAGATCAGGGGCGAATAGGGAGTGGTCAAATGGACTGCCGATATTGAATCCTACGACCGTGCACCATTCGTTGGCCATTTGGAGGCTTTAATGATGTCAGAATTCAGCGATCTTGGGCTCGTTGGATTCGTCTCGTCGAGCCGTTCGATTCGAGTATAAGCTCGTAAAAATCGGAGACCGTTTGATAACTCAAATTGCTGTTTGAACCTTCCAACAGCACTTTGAGCCCTTGATTCGGACTCATTTGGGCTCGGATTGGGTTGATCTTGGTGTTGTTGAGTTCGTATTTCCGAGACGCTAAGTTTGACTGTAAGCTCGCTGAAATCGGAGTTCATATGCTCCCGAAATTAATTTTTGAAGCTTCTAACTAGCTTTTGCCTCGAGATTCATGCCCGATCAAGATGATTTTGCGATATCGTATCAAGTACTTTGTGTCAATAGATTTAAGTTTCTTGTTAGACAATGCATACAATACAAAAGCAATGAAAGGGTTAATTAATTTTCAGAAGAAATTAGTATGTGTAGCACCTGGTGATTTATGTTTTTTTACTTTATATCTTTTTTATTTGGGAAAGTTTTGTATGCATCATAAGATACAAATAAAAATTCTCCATGTGAACATGATTGTTCATATACACCGCTGCAATTTTGGAATTTTGTGGCCACTAAAACCGTTGCAATAACTAGCTGTTCACATTATCTACCACAGTGGTCGTAAAACCACCGCAAAATATCGTTACAGTGCATTGTAATCACAACGACGTGCAGCGATTTTATAATTGCTGCAAAGAAATTTGTAGTAGCTAAAACCGATGGGGAAGATCAAATTTTGTGCTGCGATAGCCCTATTTTATGGTAGTGATCATATAATAGGATTTCTTGTTTTTTCAACTGCTACCGTATTCTTTTAGCTTGATTTAATTAAGATTTTATTTTGAATATCTTTCTTATTACTTTTTAAAAGAGCTTTCTAGTACAAAAAAAAAATGAATAAAATTTTTTTTACAAGATATTTATTTAGAGAGCAATAAAAAAGCTGTCCCGCATGAATCTCAAGTTTTTGTTTGGGACAACTTTCTTTATGGTTCTTAAACCAACTTTTTAATATAAAAATTTTAATTTTGGTACTAAAATACTGCTTTAAGAAGCAGCAAGAAAGCCATCTCAAACTAAACTAGGGCTAAGTTAAGCATAGTTTTCATCCATTTTTTATTTAAATTATTTACCAGTGCCCAAATGCTTCCTTATACAGCTAGTTTACAATTTATTCTCTTTTATTGTAGCGTTTGCTGATGAAATTAGGCGATTATACACTGTTATTTGCTGTAAATAGTTCCTATGTGCTCTTTGATTTTATTTCCAGTAAGGGGTTGGATTCTTCTTGTTTGCCTTTGTAGCTAGGTTATGTTCTTGCTGCCTAATAAATTATTAATTACCAATACTAGTTTTTAAAAAGCAATTAGCAGGTGAGTAGTAAGATGCGACACGCAATCTCCATGCATCTATTACAGCTAGCCATGTACTGCGGTCGCTGAACGCACATGCAAGCATTATAAGTTGTTCAAAGCAAAAGAGAACTTTTTTTTCCTCTCACGATGTGTGTTCGCTGGTCGTGGTGGTTTGTTGTGTGAACAGCCAAGTTGAATGTAAGCAAGCAGAGTTCTATTTGAATTTTATTCATTCATTAATGGGTTAGTACATATAAATTTTAGCTAACAAGCTTACTAAATGAAAGCAACGCTCAAGCTGCATAAAACGTTAGCATGAAAAACAAGAAGAAGAAGAACACTAAAACACAGAGCAGAGTATAAGCCATTAGAAGAACTCTTGAGCTCTATCATTCTCGGATGCCTCTCCGGCTGCTACAGTAGCTAGTATAAGTAACTGAGTTAGTTACAAAGCAGTGGTCCGGATTATCTCAACAGAGATCAGACGGCTTTGGGAAAAGGGTGGACTGCCAAGGCAGAGTAAGTGGATGAAGAACTTTATAGTGCAGCCGGCTTATCAACATGAAGAGCTACACATCTGGTCACCTTATCAGCCCCCCTCAAGTTAAGGATGGTGGTCGAATCGTTAACTTGTCACGAAGAAGCTCAAACCGAGTGACCGAGAGCGGTTTGGTAAAAATATCGGTAGATTGATCAATGGTAGGAATGTGATGAACGGAGATGAATTGTGACGACCGGATGCAATCACGTATGAAGTGAAAATCAATTTCGATGTGCTTAGTTCTTGCATGAAAGATGGGGTTATTGGCTAACGCAAGTGCGAAGATGTTGTCACAATAGAGCTTTGTTGGACTAGAAAGAGGAACTTTAAATTCTGTCAACAAGCGACGAAGCCAAATAACATCACAGGCAGCGGTGGAGATAGCTCTATACTCAGCCTCGGTTGATGAACGAGCAATTGAGGTTTGCTTTTTAACAGTCTAAGAAACAAGTGTGCTGCGAAGGAAAGCACAGTATCCAGTGACAGATCGTCTGTCGGATTTATCCGATGTCCAATCGGAATCAGCGAAAGCCATTAGCTGTAATGTATCACGAATGATAGGTAGACCAAGTTGAAGAGAACCTTGAATGTACCTTAGAACTCGTTTGAGTAATTGGAAGTGAACCATGTACGGTTGATGCATATGTTTGCAGAGGAAATTTACCGCAAAGAGCAGAACCGGTCTGGTTAACGTCAAGTACTGCAGCGAGCCAACAATTTGGCTTTAGAATTCAGGACGAGTATATAGCAAATCACTCGAGTCAGCCATTGGTAAGACCGTGGGCAAGGGAGTAAGAACAGCTTTGCATTCAGACATGGCTGCTTTTTGAAGAATCTCCTTGGCATAATGAGCTTGGCTGAGATGAATCCCATATGAGGTATGAGTTGCTTGTAAACCGAGAAATTGGTTGAGACTGTCCAGATTGCTCATATGAAACTAAGAGTGTAGATTTTGAACTAACCTCTGTATCTCGGTATTGTTGTTACCAGTCAGTAGTATGTCATCGACATACACAAGTATATACAACTGAATAGAATTTCAATTGTATATGAGAAGGGATGGGTCGGCTGTGCTTGTGGTAAAGCCATAAGTTAGAAGATAAGTGGACAACATCTCAAATCACTGTCGAGGAGATTGTTTGAGACATAAATGGCCTTTTTTTAGTAAACAGACATGATTTGGATATTGAGGATCCACAAATCAAGTGGGTTGTTTCATATAAACTTGCTCATGTAATTTTCCATGTAAGAATGCGTTAGACACATCAAGTTGTAATATTGAACACTTATTGGAGACGGCAACAAATAACCAAATTGTGGCAAATTTAGCCACTGGACTGAATGTCTCATGATAGTCTAATCCATGCTCCTGCTTGAAGCCTTGAGCAACAAGTCGCGCTTTGTAACGTGCAACAGAACCGTTTGCATTATATTTTGTCTTATATAGCCATCTGCAGCCTAACAGATTTTGACCGGGCTCATATGGAACCAATAGCTAGGTACCTTGTTGTTGTAATGCCTCAAATTCGCTGCTCATAGCTTTGCACCAGGCTAAATATTTGGCTGCTTGAGTAAAGCCAGAGGGACTAGCAGGGATTACTTGATGATCAAGATAAAAAATCTTCTTCGGTTTAAGCTTGCCCGTTTGAGCCCTGGTAGGCATATGATGTTTAGGTGTGGGGTCTGTAGCAGAAGAGTTGGTAGGTGGCTGAGGAAGTTCAAATATAGGATCAGCAGACGTAATTGATATAGGTACGGGATGATGAGGACTTTGGAAAGCTGGAGTTGGAACAAACAAAGTGTGTTGAATAGATGATGCAGGGATTAATGTAGCTGGAGTAGAAATTGCATTGGGAGCAGGTGGTGGACAGTGAGGTTTGATAGACTTGAAGGGAAAAAAGGATTCATGAAACTGAAAATGTCGAGAAATGTAAGTTTTAGATGTTTTGAAATCAAAACATCGATAGCCTTTTGAATTGGGAATATAGCCAAGGAAGATACAAGGCTGGGATCGAGGAGCCAGTTTGTGTGAGAGATGAGTTGAAAGCCAGGGATAAACCAGGCATCAAATGTGCATAAATGGGAGTAACTGGGAGGTCTTTTATACAGGTATTCATAAGGAGATTTATGATGGTTAGATGAGGTTAGTAACCAGTTGATTACGTAAATGGCCGTAAGAAGAGCATCTGTCCAAAACTTACCTGGTAAGTGAGCATCAAACAACATCGCTCTCATGGTTTCAACAACATGGCGATGTTTCCTTTCGGAAACGCCATTTTGCTGGGGCGTGTAAGGGCATAAAGTTTGATGAATAATACCAAAGGTATTTAAATGAGTTTGAAAAGTTGAGTTCATATATTCTCCACCACGATCCGAGCGAAGTATTTTAATTTTAGTTTGAAATTGATGTTCAACAAGTTGCTTAAAGCATAGAAACGTGGAACACACTTCAGATTTAGCATGAAGGGGAAAAACCCATGAATAGCGACTAAAATTATCAACAAAGATAACATAATAATGGTAAGATTGCATTGAAACGATTGGGGAGGGACCCCACACATCACTGTGAACGAGTTCTAAACATTTTGTAGATCTAGTAGAAGACAAAGGAAACGAAAGATGCCTACATTTAGCCTGAGCACAGGCGGTACAATGATAA